TTGTCAATATTGTTTATTGTTCTTTATTGTATTAACAAGTTTTACAAGTGTTAAATGTATTGTTTTGTCATAACAATGTCTGACGGTGACGCCCTCAATATACGAAATTCGACATAGATTATAATTAAAATTTAATCTGATAATTTTTTTTGTTTTTAGTGTGATACATTATTAAATAAGTTATTTTCCATCTTAAATACCCATTCTTTTATTTTAGTTTTGTAAGAAATATAGTTAAAATATTTTTTTATTGTTTCAGGTAGAAGTGAATATAACTTAGGTGCTAAGAAATTGCAATGCTTCTGCCCAATAGTCTTATTGCAGCGTGGAGTGGAGTGTTGTGTAATATTTGTCTTGTTTCCTAGGTATGTTCCTTTTTTGATATTTTAATATTACCTTTTTTGATTTTTAATAATATTTCTAAACAAAACAATTTCCTAGTATCAAGTACACCAGAATCTTGGTACAGATTTTCACTTGAATACAAACGAGGTTTATTGTAAATAAGCTTTAGTATCCATTTTTGTAATACGTTTAAATGTTCAAGATAATAATTACTCACCCCGCCCCATGCTGTTGTTATGAAATTATTAAGTCCGACTTGGTCGTTTACTCATAGGAATGGAATGTTCGAGACGACTGTCGGAAGCCTCTAGCATTTTCCAGTAGCGGAGTTGAACTAATATAAATAGTCGGCGTATCAGCGCCGAGTTTAGTTTAATGTAGAACATTGTATTGAAAAGTTAAAGTGTAAGAAATAAATTAGAATTGTTAGTTGGTGTCTAAATATTACATATATTAAATAGTACGTCTGAAATAAATTGTAAATAGTGTGTTTTTAAATAAATAAACTACAAATAAATTAGACTTTCGTCACACTATAATGCTATATGATAACTATAATTGTACTAGTCCCTAATATATTGTTTTTAAATGTTTATTATCAAGATATTCCTTTAGATTACTAAAATATGTCCAGTCGATGGTTGTATCATTAGATTATTGATATATATTGTAAAAAGAACTAAACCAAGTACCGTACCTTGAGGAACCACAAATATAACGTCTTTAGAACTACTAAACAGGCCGTTAATGCTCACCACTTGCTTTCTATCAGAAAGATAACTTTCAAATAAATTTAATGCAATTCCACGGACTCCGATTTAATGTAACATTTGTAATAATTTTTTGTTACATAAGGTGTCAAATGCCTTTGATAGATCAAGGAATATGTATTCTATCTATTCTTGATGTCCTTCGCTCCTAAAAGTTTTAATAAAAACAGTAATAAATATCTTTTCGCGGATCATGCTAAATTACTCTATTAGATGTAAGACACTATTTGTTATGAGTTATGACAAACAGGGAAAAATTACAATCCAAATTAATATTGGACTGCCAGCAGTCCCTCTAGGCCTTTGCAGCATAAGTTAAGGTCACTTCTGAATGGGTGCTGAAATATGAGGGAGTATTAAGGAACGAGAAAGTTGACCTAGCCAGAAAGCGAAATAAGAAAGCAATATCTCGGCTAGAACCCATACGTGATATTTCATATTAACATTTTTCAGGTGTGCTAATTAAAGAAAACCGGTAAATACGAGTAGATAACGCTATTAAGTTCTAGTAAGAACTTTCTAAATATCTTTGTTAAGTACAATAGAATATTTAAGCAGTGTATCTCCGGTCACATCTATTTTAGAAACCATCCCTGTTTATTAAGTTTAGTTTGAAGGTTTCCACTTTGTGAAAGATACACTCGAAGTAAATTTAGAAGTTTTATCTCTAAGTTATGTCGCTTTTAGGGCATAAACAAAATTTAAATGAAAGGGATTTTCAGAGACAACTACCGTCGATCTCGTCAGTTTCATACTAAAGATTAAATTTATTTTCTGAGAGCAAAATGAGATTAAGAATAAAATCTTAATGTATTTGAATTAGCACAAAGAATATACGGTGTGACCCGCTATAGGAGTTCCTTCATAAAAATGCATGTTCTTCAGTCGATTTCCAAAATGTACAGGGTGTTTCAAAAAGGTATGTCATAAATTCTTCCCCAGATAGATTACCAAAAAACAAAGTTACAGGGCGTTAAACTAACATTAAAAAAAAGATTTTTATTTGTAAAAAGTTTTCTGTTGCGATTTTTACTTTAAATTTTTTGCCAGTGCTGTAGATTTGAAGGCCCAATATTCTGAGGAGAAAAAAAAATATAGTGACCCCTTAAAAAAAATTGGGGGTTTGGGTAACTTTTAACCCCCGTATTTTTTTTAACATAAAGAAACTTGCTTTATCGATCTTAAAATCAAAAAGAACTATGAATTTTTAATTTTTTTTTAAAGAAAAATGAACTTTGTATCTTTCTTAGTTAACGAGCTATTTGCAATTTTTTAACTGAATTTCTAGAGCAATTCGTCCGTCCTGGATTTAACATATTGTCACGTTATGCGTGTCTTTTAATATAGAATGTCACGTTAAGCGTGTTTTTATAATTAATTAAATGTGTCACAATGAATGTGTTCTTAAATAATTATGGGACTATCTATGTCCCGGGGGTCAAATAACAAAATATATAAATTCGGACCTCAATCGTATAAGGATTCTATTTCCTTAAAATAGGCTTCGTGACTATGAACTATATGGGGGGTTTATTCGGCAATTAAAAACCTTTGAAGATTAAAGAAAACACAACGTTTTCTTAAAAAAAATATAGTATATATTTAATATAAAAATACAAAATAGGCTACAGCTCGACACAAAAATGGGCTCAATATAATAACAAGTACATAAAACGTAGACCTACCAACTCATCAATATTTGGGGCGCACGTCACAACTCTTGCCGGACTATTAAAACGCAATTATTCAAAATACTAAAAAACGAATTTTAATTTAAACTGTGAAGATTATGAGCTGGAGCTGCTACAGGAAATCTCCTACAAGGCGGACCTCCTATGGGGAGGATCCGTTCCCTGTGGAAAAAGCCCTGCGCATCCCCTTGACATTACATTTATAAATTTCTCATAGTTTATTGTTATTAAACTAATATTTAATAATTATTAAATAATCAACCTTGCATATGATTGCAAATCAAAACAAATTGTCGACATACTTAAACAAAGTTTTATATACAGGATGTTATTTAAAAATTTAATTAAAATTAGGAAAAATATGAATTTATACGAGTCGTGACAACACTAACAGTGGTTTGCACCAGTCATAGTCAAAAGTTGTAATTAACTTACTATTAGGTAGTGTTAATCCATAATTAATTTTGAAATGCTTTGCACTACTAGAATAATATTGATAGTTAAGTAAATAAAGCTTAACATTTCAGTACTCCTGTTGGCATTACCTAATTTTAAGAACTTTTAGGATGTAACAGTTGTTTATTCTAATTTTAACCTACAAAGTTCGGTTATTTCAACGTTTTGTGGTTTTGACACATACTTTGATTTTCTTTTACTATACGGAGAATGGTCGCATGCGCAGCTTTCTGAATGCCTTTTAAAAGGAGATAGAAAACTTTGCCATTTTGAACCCTTATTACGTGTTGCCTACATCTTGGCGCAATATTTTTAATAGGTGCGTTTTAATCATCCACTTCTGCTTCGGAATTGTCGATTTTCTTGTTTTAATCTGACAGGTTAAAAAGACTAAACCAACAATTCCGGAACCAGAAGCGGATGATTAAAACGCACCTGATATTTTGCCTGCTGCTGTCAATGTCAGTGAATATCACAGTTTATTTCTAAAGAATCAGTTAGCTCACTCGGACCAGTTGAAAGTTTCAAAATAACATCCACTTCAGGGATACAAATTCAGGATACGCAGAAGACTTCTGTTTTATTATAGGCGGTTGTCATATATTGTATTATCCGAGTTGCGCAGTGTATAAACTGGAACATTGAGATCAAAAGTGCCGACGCAGAGTGAGCGATCTGATTCTTTAGCTATAAACTGTTGCATAGGAATCAAAATGGCCGCGCCCTATGTTGGGCGTGTCGAACCTCTCTCTTACCCCGTATAGTAATCCAAGTATGTGGGTTTTGAACACATACTTTGATTACTATACGAGGCAAGAGAGAGGTCCGACACGCCAACGTAGGGTGCGGCCATTTTGAACCCTGTGACACAGTTTACAGCTAAAGAATCAGATCGCTCACTCTGCGTCGGCACTTTTGATCTCAATATTTTAGTTTATACACTGTGCAACTCGGATAATACAATATATGACAACCGCCTATAATAAAACAGCAGTCTTCTGCGTATCCTGAATTTGTATCCCTGGAGTGGATGTTATTTTGGAACTTTCAACTGGTCCGAGTAAGCTAACTGATTCTTTAGCAATAAACTGTGACTTCAAAAATAATATTCACTGACACTGACAGCAGCAAGCAAAATATTAGGTGCGTTTTAATCATCCGCTTCTGCTTCCGGAATTGTCGGTTTAGTCGTTTTAACCTGTCAGAATAAAACAAGAAAACTGACAATTCCGAAGCAGAAGCGGATGATTAAAACGCACCTATTAAAAATATTGCGCCAAGATGTACCTAGGCAACACGTAATAAGGGTTCAAAATGGCGGAGTTTTGTATCTCATTTTAAAAGGCACTCAGAAAGCTGCGCAGTGCGACCATTCTCTGTATAGTAAAAGAAAATCAAAGTATGTGGGTTTTGAATCACATACTTTGATTACTATACGGTGCAAGAGAGAGGTACGACACGCCCAACATAAGGCGCGGCCATTTTGATTCCTATGCCACAGTTTCTAGCTAAAGAATCAGATCGCTCACTCTGCGTCGGCACTTTTGATCTCAATATTCCAGTTTATACACTGCGCAACTCGGATAATACAATATATGACAACCGCCTATAATAAAATATAGTAAAAGAAAATCAAAGTATGTGTTTTGAATTTGACATTTTTTGCACGTGCATTTTAGCAAATTATATTTGGTTTATTGTTTTTTATCTTATCGTCTTATCGTGTTTTTAAAATAAAATGAGCCAGGAAAAGCGTCAAAGATCGGTAAATTTTACAAATGAGGAAAAAATTAATTTATTGTACATACTTAGGAAGCATAAGAACATAATCGAAAATAAAGAGACAGGTGGGGTTACTTGGAAGAACAAGGAAGAAGCGTGGAAAAATGTTGAACGGGACTTCAGCAGTACCTCATCCACGTCAAGGTCAGTAAAAGTCCTGAAACGATTCTACAATAATAAAAAAAGAAAACACGGAAACAGGTTTCACTGCATTGAATTTAATAGAGCTGGTGGTGGAATGCCGATTGTAGAGGTTAAAGATGATCCAGTTTTTAATCTGACCCTGGACATCATTAATAAAAAAACAGTGTTTGGGTTGCACAACAAATTCGATGATGATGCTGAATCAGATGTAGAACAAGTGCAGCCAAATGGTGTAAACAATCGGTAATTGCTAATTTAGCAAATAATGATGGAATTATTATTTTTCCAATGGATGATGATAAAATGGAAAATAATTTTGTGGTTTCTAAAATATTTTTTAGTCTGAATTCTTCTAATGAAATACTTTCTTTTAGGATGAACCTCCAACAAAATTATTGATATATACACCATCATCAGGAAGGATAGTGGGTGGTTCTTCATCACCATTATCTACAGTGGCTAGTTCATCAACAGCAGAAAGGGCAGCGATTAGTATTAAAAGTGGTGATGGAAAGCGCAAACATAAGTCACATTTTCTAAAGGGGAAAATGTGGCTTTAAAATATGAAGAAGTTGTAGACATAAAAAAATCAGTTTTTGATATTCAGTTAAGCATATTGACTGCATGTAAAGAAGATTTGGAAAAAAGAGGGAATACGAAATAAACCAAATAAAATTGAGGGAATTCCGGGAGCAAGAAGAACACGAGTTAAAGAAAAAAAGCTTTAAATCTAGACATTGAAATTAAAGAAGTCCAGGTAACTGCTTTAAAAAGGGTTTAATCTTTTATTTGTGTCCCTTAGTTTGTAAGTTAGATGTATATGTAAAATAAATCTGTAAAATTCAGGATGGAAATTAATGTTTTTGTGCAAAACCGAATAAATCCACTAGTAAAGTGGTGTAAATAACACACTGGCATTCGCTGTTTAAAGGCAGTTTGTAAGATATATTTCTTTATTTTGATTTTTTTCCCCTTATATTGGTGCGGATACTTTTGAATTTTGATTAGAGTAAAACTGATTTAACAAAAATCATTCTTCAAAATTATAATTGCAAAGGGTTTAACAAAACAAACGAAAAAAACAGCACTTTTTGTGCAATTGGAAAATCGTGTTTTCCAAAAAAAACTTTTATAGTTTTGCTCCAAATTTAAGTTTTCTTGTTGTGCAGTTTAAACTTTGATAACATTTTTAAGTTAATTGTTTATGTGTTTAATCTAAACATAGGTATATTATTATTTTTTAAGAGACTTGAAAAATTTAAATTTTCAGGCAACATTAATAAAATCTAAAAAAAACATGTAAATAACAAAGACTATTAAATGTTATGTGTTTAATCTAAACATAGGTATATTATTATTTTTTAAGAGACTTGAAAAATTTAAATTTCCAGGCAACATTAATAAAATCTAAAAAAACATGTAAATAACAAAGACTATTAAATTAAATAAAAAAATAATATATTATTAAAATAATCATTTATAAAAGCTGTTCTTGTAGCTACACCTAGTTCTCTTTCAATTTCAATATTAGGAATGTAACCATTTGTTATTAGGTCATTAAGAATATGCTCATCTAATTAAGAGGGCAATATTATGAAGCCCTGAGGTTGCAACTATAACCGTGAGGAATGTATTTATTTTTAACCTGCATCCATAGGCTAATATTGGAAAACGTTTCTTCCATACACCAAATAACCTTTCAATTGCATTTCTTGTTTTAATGTGTCGGTCATTGTACAATCTTCCTGGATTTGTTGCAGGATTTAGTAATGGTGTCAACAAGTGTGGCTTGTTGGCATATCTATTATCTCTTGAAAGATACAAAAATAATTGTGTAATATAGACATACAACGTGATTACTGTAATTATTACTTTATACTCAGAAAACAAATTACTTACCCAGTAGTAACCTAACCTAACCTAATTTAACCTAACCTAACCTAACCTAACCTAACCTAACCTAACCTAACCTAACCTAACCTAACCTAACCTAACCTAACCTAACCTAACCTAACCTAACCTAACCTAACCTAACCTAACCTAACCTAACCTAACCTAACCTAACCTAACCTAACCTAACCTAACCTAACCTAACCTAACCTAACCTAACCTAACCTAACCTAACCTAACCTAACCTAACCCAACCTAACCTAACCTAACCTAACCTAACCTAACCTAACCTAACCTAACCTAACCTAACCTAACCTAACCTAACCTAACCTAACCTAACCTAACCTAACCTAACCTAACCTAACCTAACCTAACCTAACCTAACCTAACCTAACCTAACCTAACCTAACCTAACCTAACCTAACCTAACCTAACCTAACCTAACCTAACCTAACCTAACCTAACCTAACCTAACCTAACCTAACCTAACCTAACCTAACCTAACCTAACCTAACCTAACCTAACCTAACCTAACCTAACCTAACCTAACCTAACCTAACCTAACCTAACCTAACCTAACCTAACCTAACCTAACCTAACCTAACCAAACCTAACCTAACCTAACCTAACCTAACCTAACCTAACCTAACCTAACCTAACCTAACCTAACCTAACCTGGTGATATAATTTTAAAATGTGAACAATCTATTGCTCCTACTACCCTAGAAAATGTCCCCACATCAAAAAAAATCTTCTTGAGTTTTTCTTATAGCGTCAAATTCTTTTGGCATTTTTAAATAAAACTGTTTAAGATTTGCTACGGCTTCCGATACTCTTAAAACAATTCTTGATACAGTGGAAAAGTGCATGCCAGCAAAATCTGCCACTGCATCCAAATTTCCTAGTTTACTCCTAGTTTATGGATTTTACTACAAAAGGCCAAACTAGACATAAACAACGATTAAAGAATATCTACAAAAAATCCCATAGTCCCAGTAAAATATAATATATGTATAATGTAAGATCCTTTATTCATTCGCCCGTGTAAAGTTTTCAAGTACTGTCCTCCATAAACGTCGAATGGCAAAGAAAAGTGATGTAAGAAAGTCAATTAAAATCCAAATTGCATTTAAATTTTTCGGATCTCAACAGTTTTTCTCATCACTTCACTTTACTCCCAAGGTAGGAAGAAATGGAGATGACATCATGTAAAATAAGTATCACCACTATATCGCTATATTATTATAGAATTTTGATACTTATTTGTGTGACAATGTGTGTCCGTTTTTGTGTGCGGGTTTATTCTACGTACGTGATATGGTTTTAGACAATATCCATTAGATGCAGAATGTTTAGATAATTTTCAATCGGGAAATAGAAATACAAAATAAAGTAATAGAAAAAAAAAAATAGAGGCATCAAATTTAGCGGAAGATGAAAATTAAGATGTATCTAGTTTATAATTTTAACATAGAGTTAGTTCAAAAAGTCTCCGTACACTACCTGCTTTATATAGAATAGAAACTACGAGAGGATACGCTCTTTTCAATAACTGAAGCATAAGTACCGATTATAAGTTATAATTACAATAAATGGACATTTTTATTTAAAAGAAACATCGGCATTATAAAAATCTATGCAAAATTTATGTCAAGGAAGTCTCCGTACACTCCGTAAAAATGAGCGAAAGAAATCGTGAAATTGCAATTCGACTTCGAAAGTTGATAGTTGATTTATGGAAAGAAAAAAATTCCTTATAAATATTGGAAAAGTTGTTAAGAAGCCGTACACTACCGTTCAGTACATTATAAACCAGTATATTAAGTGGTTCCTACAAGATTCGACCACGTCCTGGTCGTCCCAAGAAACTGACTCCGCGTGAAGAAGCTAGTATTGTTAGGCAAGTAATTATAAAAACCAAAAAAAGTGCACCAAAACTAAAAGAAGAAATATGAGAGCTATTTTCAAAAAATATTTTCCCACGAACGGTGTGAAATTGTATACACAGAGCAGACTATAAGGGGTGTACTGCCAGAAAGAAGCCGTTAATTTCGGAAGTTAATCGAAAAAAACGTTTAGCTTTTGCTACAGAATACGCTAATAAGCCTCCTGAATTTTGGGAATCTGTAATATTTAGTGACGAAACTAAAATTAACCTTTTTGGATCTGATGGTAGAGCTAAAGTTTGAAAAAAGAAGAATACCGCCTTTGATATCAAAAACCTTTGTTCCACGGTAAGACACGGGGTGGCAGTGTTCTGCTATGGGGATGCATGTCCGCTAGAGGTGTTGGAAATTTACATTTTAATAATGGGATCATAGATCAGCATGTCTATATGAACATTTTGCGAGACAATTTAGCAGAAAGTGTGCAGAAATTAGCGCTCGAAGAAAGATACATTTTCCAACAGGACAATGATCCGAAGGATACTGCAAACTTGGTGCGAGAATGGATGATCCATAACGTGCGACAGCAACTTCACACACCCCCACAGTCACCTAATGTTAACCCCATTGAACATTTATGGGAGGAACTTAAATGGCGTGTTCGCAAACATAACGTTTTAAGTAAGAAAGAGTTAAAAAACAGAGTATTTCACGAATGGGAGAACATTCCAGGAGAACTTACTAGAAAGTTGGTTTCAAGTATGACAAGAAGGTTACAAGCGATTATCAAGGCCAAGGGCGGTCCAACTAAATATTAGTTTTTACATTTGTTTCATATCTGTTAAATTATTATTAGAAACTGGTAAAAGTGTACGGAGACTTTTTTGGCATTATTTTTAACCGACTTCAAAAAAGGAGAAGATTCTCAATTCGTCACGATATTTTTTTTATGTATGTTCCGCGATAATTCTTTAACACGGTGTCCGATTTCAACGATTCTTCTTTTGTTAGTAAGGGGGTACTTTAGGGGTGGTACCATATAAATTTTGTCAAAATCTAATAACTGGGTCCATGAGAAATTTCTCAAACTCTTCATTTTTCACGTATGTTTAGCGATAATGCTTTACCACCTTGTCCTATTTATATGATTCTTTTTGTTAGTAAGAGGGTACCTCAGGGGTGGCCCCATATAAATTTCGATAAGATGTGGTGACGGCATCTGCACGTTTTTGAAGTCGGTTTTTTTAAATTTTTAATTTCTAATACTTGTTGTATAGATGTTTATATTATTGATATAATTTTTAAATAAGGAAATTTAGATAGTAAGGTTCTATATTTTTATTTTTATGTAAGTTTAAATACTTTTTTATATACCAATAATGTTAAAAAATGTGTAGTATGCCACATACAAGTAACTTGCTTTACTTTGTGGTTTTTTATCTCATTTACTGTATTTTCGTTTATTTGTTGTTACCAATTATTATGTACTATGTATTTCTATGCAAATAAACATTATTATTAATCGTTTTTGCAATTATTACTAAAAATCGTTAAAAGTATGTTTCAATTATCAATAAAAATATGTTCTCATAGAGTTTTGATTTCTTGGGTTCTAATTAACAGTGCTGTTCCTAAAGTGGCGCTGGGAAACAGTAACAAAGCCTACACAGAACACGAGGCGAAATAACCCTGGTAGTTAAAGCCGATGACACAAAAAAAACAAAATTAATTGAATACAACAAAAAAGCTCGATGTAAAGCAGGTAGTGTACGGAGACTTTTTGG